CAGAAGTCTGTGGCTTGCTTAGTACCCTAACCCTACATCTGACCCCAACACTGCCTGGCCTGGAGCCCCCTCCCCGAGCCAGCGTTCCCTTCTCCACCTCCTCCTTCATCCAGATTTCCTCCCAGAACTTGCACCTCTCACCCCTTCCCACACCCAAATCCTTCATTCCCACCCCAGAGCCTATACATCCTGTCTCAACCCAGTGAGGGTACAGCTAGACTGCAGGAGTTTTTCAGGATTCTGGAGATACCCCAGAAAAACTCTTCTGCATCCAGGGATGTGTTTGTTCTTCCACTTCTTTTAGAGGAAGAGCAAACATGATCTTCCGGTCACCCCTATATTCCTCTTTCCACGAGGAATAAGGGGGCTTCCGAAAGAAGGGTTTTTCTGACATTCAGTCCAGTCTAGACAGGCCAAATGTTGGAAAAACTTCTTCCTACAGAAGAATTGGGGAAAAAAGCAGCAGTGTAAGGGTTGGGGATAGCAAGTGATGGAGAGGAGGAGAATAGAGAGGGTGGGGCTTCAAGAAAGGGGCAGAGTGGTAGATCTTGGCTTGTTCTGTCATTTAAAAAGTGATGTTGGGTGTAAAAAGGTTGGAGACCACTGGTCTAAGGACACCGTCCCTGTCTGTCCTGGCTAATAGTCATTGATGGACCTATCCTCCATGAATTTATCTAGCTCTCCTTAGAACCATTTCTCTAACCTCATCATGATCTTATAGACCTCAGTCATATCCCACTGTTAGTTGCCTCTTCCAAGCTGAAAAGTTCCCATCTTACTAATCTCTCCTTCCATGCTCCTAATAATTTTTTTTGTGCTTTTCTGAACTTTCCTCAGTGCCAAGATATCTTGTTTGTGATGAAGGGACCACATCTACATGCAGTACTCAAGATATGGGCATACCATGGATTTATATAGAGGCAATAAGATATTTTCTGCCTTATTCTCTATCCCTTTTTTAACGATTCCTAACATTGTTTGCTTTTTTGACTGCCACTGCAATCAGAGAACTATCCACCATGACTCCAAGATCTCTCTTGAGTAGTAATAACTGATTTAGTTCCCATCCTTTTATACTTATAGTTGGGATTATGTTTTCCAATATGCATTACTTTGCATTTATCAGTATTGAATTTTATCTGCCATTTTGTTGCCCAGCCACCTAGTTTTGTTAGATCCTTTTGAAGTGTTTCACATTCTGCTGTGGACCTAACTATCTCAAGCAGTTTTGTATCATCTGCAGAATTTGCCATCTCACTGTTTACCCCTTTCTTCATATCACTTATGAACAGGGCTCGACAGTTACAGCAATCTACTTGCCTGTGGCGAGTAGATTTTAGCCTGGCACGATGCTGCAGCACAATCAGCGCATGCACAGCACGGTCTGTGCAAGTGCAGCATGTCAAACCGCGCAGCTGGCGAGCGGGGCTTGCCTCCGCTTGTCAAGCCCTGTTTATGAATATGTTTAATAGGATTGGTTCCAGTACAAACCTCTCAGGGACATCACTAGCTACCTCTCTCCATTCTGAAAAGTGACCATTTATTTCTACCCATTGTTTCCTATCACTTAATGAGTTATCAATCCGTAGACCTTTTATCTGACAGCTTACTTTGCTCTAGAGCCTTTAGTGAGAGACCATGCCAAAGGCTTTCTGGAAATCTAAGTACACTATATCCACTGGATCCCCCTTGTCCATGAGCTTGTTGACTGCCTCAAAGAATTTTAGTAGATTGGGGCATGATTTCCCTTTACAAAAGCCATGTTGACTCTTCCCCAATAATTTACATTCATCTACATGTCTGACAATTTTGTTTTTTACTATAGTTCCAGCCAATTTTCCTGACACTGAAGTTAGATTTACTGGCCTGTAATTACTAGGATCCCCTCTAGAGCCTTTTTAAAAAACTGTTCTACAATTTCACATTAGAGTTCTTTCAGAACTTGGGTAAATGCCATCTAGTCCTGGTGATTTATTACTGTTAAAGTTACCAATTTGTCTAAAACGTCCCTTAGTAACACCTCAATCTGGGACAATTCATTAGATTTGTCACCTAAAGAGAATGGCTTCAGCCATTTCTGTGTCCAATCACATGCTCCTCCACACCTGTCAGCTTACCCCTAACCCTTAGTTTAAAAACTGCTCTATGACCTTTTTAATTTTAAGTGCCAGCAATCTGTTTCCATTTTGTAGAGCTCCCTTTATCCCAAAAGTTTTCCCAGTCCTTAATAAATCTAAACTCTTCCTCCATACATTATCATCTTATCCATGTATCGAGAGACCCTGCAGTTCTGCTTATCTACCTGCATGTGGAACTGGAAGCATTTCAGAGAATGCTACTATGGAGGTCCTGGATTACCTAGAAACCTAAATCGGGCTCTGGGATGTCTCATCTATTCATCCCTATGGCATTAGTACCTACATGTGCCTCATCCACTGGCTCCTGCCTAGCACTACACACACACATCTATCTAGATGTTTCAAGAGAGTCACAACTTTTGAACCAGGCAGGCAAGTCACCATGCGGTTCTCCCAGTCATCACAAACCAAGCTGTTTTTTATGATTTAATCCTTCATTGCTAATATCTGTCTTTTCCTAATGACCGGAGTTCCCTCCTCTGGAGAGGTATCCTCAGTGTAAGATGATACCACAGCATCATCAGGAAGGAGGATCCCAACTATTGGTTCATTTCCCTCTGTTCCAGTTGGATGTTCTCCTTCCCTGAGACTTTCATCCTCCTCAACAGCACAGAGGCTGTTTGATCAGAGGTGGGACTGTTCTACTATATCCCAGAAAGTCTCATCTGTGTGCCTCTCTCTCTTCCTTAGCTTCTCCAGTACAGCCATTCTGGTCTCCAGAGCATATACACTGTCTTTGAGGGCCGTGAGCTCCTTGCACCTAATGCACACATATGCTACCTGTCCATAGAGTGGGTAATCATACATGCTGTACTGGGTGCAATAAACTGGATGGCCTCCATTCTCGTTCTGGGCTTCTGTCTGCATTCTCTTTTTACTCCTAGATCTAATTTCTTTCTTGATGGTTTTCTTTTTATGTCAGGTGGTTTTGGTTTTTATTTTAAAAAATGTTAAGTATCTCTAGCCCCGTTCAAACTTTCCCTCTAAAAACCCTTGCAAAACTCTGAAGTTAGCTGCTCTTGTTTGCTAGCTCCTCTTTCTGGAGCAGCACAAAGAATGAATAAATCAAATAGTATGTTTGGCCTTTAAAGAAAGCCTTATGTTCACTGGAGCTATACAGTTTCAGTCAGAAATTGTTTGTAGTAGCTGTTCTATTCACTGTTCTTTTCATATTATTACAGATAAACAATCCAGCAGTGCTTCTCTGGAGACACTATTAGCGCTTCTTCAAACTGAGGGGGCTAAGATTGAAGAGGACACTGAGGTAACAGCAGTACATATATAATGCAAATAAGAGATTCTCCTACTCATCTGTAATAAGAGATTATAGCTACTCATTTAGTTGTAACATACTATTAAATAAAGATATTATAGATCTGAGGGTTTTTCAAAGAATAGGGTTCAGACTATCGCATTAGACTTTGGTAAACAGATGAGTTCAGTAGGAATTATTTTGTCTGAGTAAGGATTCCAAGCTTACATTACAGATTTTTAACACAAATATTATAATTCTTTTATGCTCTCTGTGTCAAAAGCATGGCCAGGCCTAATAAACATAGACACACAGCTATGGGGCTCAGGCAGTGAAAAATTCATGCTCTTGAGAGCCGTAGCTATGTCAACCTAATCCCCCGTGTGGATGCAGGTAGATGAACAGAAGAATACTTGTTGATCTGGCTACCATTGCTCAGTGAGATGATGTCCCTACAATGATGAGAAAAACTACTTCAGTCTCTGTAGACTGTGTCTGTGCTATGGAGTTATGCTGGCATAGGTATGGGGCATTAGCTGTGTTGCTGTAGTCTCCATAGTGTATATATGGCTTCAGGTTGTTTACAGCCCAATAACACATGTGTAGAACTTTTAAAATATCCAGATGTAATATTGCTTGCCAGGTGCATGTGTTAATCTAACAGAAAGTGTCAGTCACTCTTGGAATATGGGTGAGATGAGAAACTGAGGTGATGAGCCATTTTGTCTTACACAGACTGAAAATGTAGTATCAGTGATGAAGATAGTGTTTCATTGTTCTAGGGGAAGAGGAAAGCCTCCACAGCAGCAGCAATGGGACATTCCATTATGATTCTTTCATAGCTGTCTAATATCTGGTTACTCCTCACTGTGCTCAAGTTTTTACCAGTGTGGACATGGTTGGCTCTATTTGTGAATAGCCCATGGGATACTGGCTTCTTTTCACTGCACTGCTTGTTAAGAGTAATAACCAAACCTATTAAAGATGACTTGTTATCCCAAAAAGTCATTTTCAAGGCAAATTATAATTTGTTATATTAATATGTATGGTTACCTATTTTGTACGAAGTAGCATTTACCAAAGCCTCGCTTTGTCCAAGCACTGAGAATGGTAGACTAAAAATATGACATAATATTGATCTCTGACTCTTGCTTTAGTGGTGCTGACACCAGTTCTTGTGTGGAGGATGTTCTAAGTAAGGATGTAAAATGTAATTTGGTGATTAACCTAATCGGGACCACTCTGGTGGGGCTGGAAAAGCCGCCACCTCATGATGCGGTACATCATGGGCCTGGCTGGGTTGGAGTAACCTCTTGCCTGTAATGGGAACATGGATGGGGAACTGCTTTAGCCAGTTCTGGCAGGGCCTGGCACAGTTTGCTGCTTTAGCCCAGCCATGCTCGAGGGCTTCCCCACTTGTAGCACAGATGGCCCTGCTGGGATGGATTGTGCAGCTGGCTCAGCTGGAGTAGCTCCCCACTAGGGATGCAAAATCCCATTTAAATTAACCACTTAAACATGATGTTTAATCAATTATCTGATTAAAGAGAGGTGGGTTGGAGGGCTGGGCTGGGCCGGGCCATTATGGGCAGGGGCTACTCCAGCAGGCTAGAGCAGCCCTCTGCCTGCAGCAGGTGGGGAGCTGCTCCAGCCCCCCACCTGTTAGCTGGAACCGGTAGGCAACACTCATTAAGGATGATGTTAACTGGTTTATCATTCACATCCTTGCTCTCCATCAGTTAACCGGTTACCCAGGTAAGGGACATGCTTACTGGTTAACCTGCTAACCCTTTACGTCCCTAATTCTAAGAGGCAAGCTGGTCCATGTAGCCCATGTTAATCCATTGAAAATTTAATTTTT